TCCTTCCAAAAACAGCACGTACGCCTCAACCGGCCAAAACCTCACCCAAGACTACCATTACACCGGAATCTCAGTCGAAAACGATCATAAATATACCAGAATCACAACAAAAAGTGACAAATGTGGTTAAAACCGGTTCTGAGAAACTTAGAAGGAAGCAAGAATGGGTTAGACAAATGCGATTGAAGTTCAGCACTCGGCCCGAATTTGAAATTACAAGAAACATTTTATATCCGGACAGGACATTAAATCAAGAGTGAGAAGATTAAATCCCAAGCAAAGATGTTTCACGCTGTTGAATACATACTAAAGCATGTAATTCCTTGACTTTTATAAAAAATAGCTATTTTCGACTTCCAAAGTCATTAACTCCTCAATTGCAACGTAAATGGACAGAGAAAGAACGTGACCTACTAATAAAAGGTATTCAGAAATACGGCATCGGCCATTACAGAGAGATTTCCGATGAATTTTTACTGGAATGGGTAATTTAAAGTTAAAAAAACATCTATTTTGAAAAACATCAACGACGCACTGACTGATTCCCGTTTTCTAATCAATGATTCGATAAAATGAATGAACGAATAATAATAATAATAAAGTCAGCACAAGATCTTCGTGTAAAGACTATGCGTCTCATAGGCAGGCAGAATCTACAACTCTATAAAGATTGGAAAGGAGATGTAGACGCGATAAAAAAAGAGTACGAAAAAAACAAGAGGATTGGATTAAAAACGGGAATGTGGAAGGCTGGCACGTTAGTTTATGACGAAAAAGAAGTTGTCTTGAAGATGATTCAAGAACAAGAAATGGATGATGATGGCAAAAAAAGATAAAGAAAAAATGAAGAGAGTTTAGAGGATGAAGAGATGAATATAGAAGGATTATCAACAGTCGAAGAAAACGATATGGTAATAGAATAACAATCGGTCTAAAATATATTCACTCATATTTTAAGCGCTTTATTGAATACTAAAACATTTTATTGAATTAAATCATTATTATAGTCCTGTTGGTGGTAGCAGATAATAATTGATAAAAGAAAAATCTTTGATAGACAACTTTAAAATACAAAATATTTAGTAAATTGTGATTTCTCGGCGGAACTTTGTAGGAAGTACAATTTTTTAATAAAATGCTACAAATGAAATTCAGTATAACTGTATTCATTATCGATATCTCGCGCGATCCAGAGTAAAGCGAAACTAAGGGCAGGTGAAAAAGATTGATTAGTCACGCATCAAGGAAAGCAAAGTTGATTAAGAACAGAACACAATAACAAACCTGAGCATGATTAAAAAATTCTGTACAACAACAGCGATTCCGAAATAAACGTATGTTTCATACTCGGATACGACATGTTTAAGGATTAATAGAGTCTGATGCGCATGTCTAATAAATGTGATTAATGCAAGAAACGAATTTAGTTTGCAAATAATTTTTAAATCAATTCGCATAGGATGTACAACCAGAATTCTCGAACTACATACCATAGATCCAGCCAGTCCACCTGCCATCAATGCAAAGCCAATAAATAATAAACGACAGCCCCGAAGATCAAATGCCGGGATGCTGTCATGATCGAGATCACGATCATGATCACGATCGCGCGTTTTCCCTGCCCCCAAGAAATTACGAACGCCACCACCATTACGAAGAAAATGACGACACCAAAGAAGAGGAATGAATGTGAGACAACGCCGGAACCAGAAGCAACCATGTACGTACAGAAGCCACTTACCTTTGATGAGACGCTGGCCCCGAAGAGGAGCAGTGCCGGGATGCGAAATGGCAGAAAGATCTAACTGTAGTCAGAATCCGCCTCAAGAAGGACGAATGCAGCAAAACGACAGGAGTGATGGAGGAAAAATTTGACAAAAAAAAAATGAAGATAAAGAATTGAAAAATAATGATTAGCTTAGCATAATATAGAATTATTCAATGACGCGACTTTACCGATCGGTACTTTTAAAAAGTACCGAAACCGATCGGTATTTTACCGAAAATTTCGGTTC